ATTTTTTAAAAGCTAGCCTTATTCATAGAAAATAAAGTAGCTTTATAAAAGGTTTATAAATTGAAAAATGTATGAAACCTTCAATTTATAAAGCTTTCTAAACCTACTTCATTTTTATCCTTTTAAACCTACTTTATTTTTTATAATTTTATTAAAAGAAAAACCCGATTTTTAAAAGGCATTTTCAACTGATTCGAGCTCACGTAAATCGTAATGTTTTTCCGAAATATTTTGGCTGAAGTCTTATTGCCATTTTCACCATCAATTTAAGTGAAACATGATTTCTTCTTTTCTGTCAGTTTTCATATTAGATAAAAAAAAAAATAACCAGCCTTATCATGAGTTTCATTTTCCCGAAACGGGTCACTTTTCACTTATGATTTCCATGTATTTACTATATATAGAAATTTTCGAGTAAAATTTTTTTCGAGTGAAACTCAGGATAAGGCAGAATAATAATTTTTCACTTAAATCACTTTTATTAGAATAAATTAAATTTTATAATTCCAATGGAAAAACAGTACACTTCTTGTCACCGCGATTCTATGTACATTGCCGGCCGGTATTGACACAAACATTTTTTTTCAATAAATGCAAAAATAATGCTCAAAAATCAACGCGATTTTTGACTAACTTCAAACTTGTATTTTTCATACTTCTCGAGTTTTGCACAAACTTTAGAAATTATATTTGTATGTTTTGTTGTTGTAGAATGAACCATATTAGTATAAAAAACTGGCGGAAAAATATAATAAAAATTTTTGCATATACATATTGTGAAAAATTCTCTGTGCCAATACTTTTTTCCGGCAGTGTAAGTTGGTAATGCAGTCAAAATATTTAGCAATTTAGCTATGCAAATTTGTGAAAATTCTGGTATTGTATATTTCAAGGAGCAATAATTTGCATTCAGCTTATGAGATGGTAACACAATTGACCGGTTACAAGAGCGCACAGAATGCGAAAATGGTTTAAAAATGGACAGGAACTTATTTAACGGTTTCAAAATTTTTGTTAGCAGCGCTGAATAGACCTGCTGATCGTAGAAATGCTTTGCGAAATTTTGTCGCGATTGGAAGTATCAGTTTTTAATTCTTCCATTGCAGTTTTCAGAAGTTTTCCCTGTTTTGAAACGACAAACCCGAAATTAGAAATACATTCAAAGCAGGAATAGAAAGAACTAAGGTATCATAGCAGGTCACAATTACGCAAAGCTCTTTTAGGTACTATTTAATAAAAGGAGAACGGTTTAAAACCGCTCACAGATTCCTTTACCGGTTTTAAAAATACCTACCTTAAGATAATGGATAATGGAAAGAATCTCGATTCCAATCTTTGTTTAGAAATATTTTCTTACTCCGAAAAGTCTTCTTAAATTTATTTGCTAAAAAATATTTCTGGGAAAATCACCGTAGGTACCTATATGGTTTAATTTCTTGTCCATTTACATACATGTATTAGTTTTGATTCATCCAAAAGCAATTTTTTCTCCATTCATATAAGTTGTGACTCACATTTCGTAGTTTGTCACTCATTCAAAGAAACACAAATAGGGGCCACAAAAAGAGCAATGCCAAAAATGAATGCGAAGAGAATTGCCAAAAATATGGCAAACAAAGTAGTATATAACAAGTGTTTGTGAAGATATGTACATCTATATATTGTATGTATGTTTATCGATATGTTGTAGTACATACAAATAAATAACCAAATAAAACCCGATTAAATAACGAGTCATTATCTATGGTACCGGCGAATTCCAAACAATAAGTAATAACAAAAACAAAGACGTATAACAATATCTAATAATTCGCAATGTTTGAAAGAGACGCAGCATTTGAAATAATTTGTTGAGATTAGGTAGTCGGTTTATTTGAGAAGTAAACGCTGACTCTCTTTTTGTGGTTGAAAAGAAGCAAAAATAATACTCCAATATTTCGTACCGCATAGGTTTCTTACGGACAGTACCCGGTCAGGGCACCTTAGAGATTTGTCGACTAGCCAGCTTCAGAATCTCCTTTGGGCGCAGGCGGTTAAACACGGGTCAGAAGGACTTTACATTCCGGCGTTTTCGCCCAGCGCTTGTTGATTCGAGTACCTAATCTTATATGTAAGCCCATCTGTCCAGGAACAGTCTATACGTTCCCACAAGAACTCCTATCCCCCTGTCGGGAGAAATGATCTGAAGATTGACCGGCCTAGCAACGAATCAACGTTATTTGGCTGTAATCCTGGGAGAGTTATCAGGCATTGCCCGTCCTATTTCGATCGTCAGAGTGAATACATACATACATAGTTATTTGCAGTCATAATCGATATGATGTATGTATGTACCCCATCCAGTCAACTGCCTCTTTTATAGCTGACGAAAGTTGCTTATAGACCAGAACTCCTATAGCTTTACCATGCAAATTGGACTCATCCGTAAGGGTGTTAACTGGGCATATCTTCCAGGTGAGAGAACTTAGATATATGTATGTAGGTGGAGAAAGATTCAATCAAACCCAGGTATGAAGTCATAGTATACAAGTGCTCATACGCCACGATGATTACGGAGAAGCTTTCCTCTGACGATGAGGACACGTTATTAACGCTGGCTAACGCTGGAGTTTCTAAACGCTCTTTAAACAAATTCGATAACATGGTCACATGAATAATGTAACCGAGTCAATATTCGGTTTTGCTCAATCATGTCATTTCCATTTTATTGTTAACACATATTTCTATGTTCCTCGTCGGTATACACTAACTTTTTGGAAGTATGAAATCAATGTTTGCAACAAAATTGTCATTGTGCTTTTTATTGATTCCATTTTATTGATTTGTTTTCATATTTATATACTTGTGTACGTGTTTACAAACATTAGCGTGCCTCATCAAAAATAGTTGCAGTTTTTCCGCCGGAACTATAAAATTTATTATATTTTAAGAGTTCCGTAAAAATATATCGATTAAATATTAGTATTTACGTGAGCTACACTGTTTTGAAAATACCTCCAGAATTATAGTGATTTTGATTCAATTGATAAAATTTTTTAACATTTTTATGAAAGTATTTGAAGCTTAAACTCTTCTATCAACTGAGGTAATTTTTTGGAAAAATATTTTTTAAAAGCTAGCCTTATTCATAGAAAATAAAGTAGCTTTATAAAAGGTTTATAAATTGAAAAATGTATGAAACCTTCAATTTATAAAGCTTTCTAAACCTACTTCATTTTTATCCTTTTAAACCTACTTTATTTTTTATAATTTTATTAAAAGAAAAACCCGATTTTTAAAAGGCATTTTCAA